GGTAACAAAAGGGAGTGAACACAGTAAGTTTCCACTTACCCTACCACAATATAAGACTACGGGTACGCGGCAAGATGAGTTACCTTTGGGGGAGGTCGAGCAAGCTTGAAAGCATGCTCGATGTCGCTCAATCTGGCATAATTTGGATCGGCTAAGTTAAATAGCTCGCCAATTCTAGCTTTGACTTCGATTTTGTCAAGCGCCCTCTGCCTCATCCTCGTCGGGTATGTGCTCCCTTGATACTCATAGCCAGGATGTACCCTCCTCTGGCAGGGCTGGACCCGTCGGCTGATGAAACTCCCGACTATGCTCGGACCATCCAGTTTTTTCCACGGGATCATTCCAAATATTTTTATGATCTGTCCTAGGTGCTCGGGCTTCTCCAACCAGCTTGTCTTCTTCTCCGGAATGTAGCCCGCGTCGCACAGCGTGATCATGTTCGGCTCTTTGCGGATGTAGAACTATTTTTTGTACCAGTCGTCGAGCGATGTGTTCCATGGGCAGTGCAGGTACTGGGCTTTCATGCCGTCATGGAGGTTGAGGTATAGACCCCCGGGTATCTTCGAACCACCGCTTCCTTTCTTCCGCAGACAGAAAAGATGGTGGAAAAAATCGAAATGGGGCTAGAAGCCGCCATACGCTTCGCACAGGTGAATAAAAGTGGCGACAAGGAGGATCGAGTTGGGATGCAGATTGCAAATCCCAATCTCGTAGTAAAGACAGAGCTCCTAAAGAAACGGATGCATCTGAACTCCAAATCCCCGTTTAAAGAAATCCTCGAACACCACGATCTCACCTGGTTGTGGATCGGGGTACCTCTTGCCCTCTAGCGCATGCCATCCTACGAGCTCCTTGTTGTAGAGTACCCCCATGGTGACGAGGTCTTAATGGTCTTCTCGTTGCTTTTCGACTTCCACCATTCCTTCGCCATGACCCCTGTTTTCTTCTACGCATCACTTTTCGCCATTTCCTTCCATTTTCCGCCTCTGACTCCGGCCTTGCTGGTGAACGAGGAGTGTGTTGATCTTCAACAGCAGCGGGGGATTAGCAGGGGCGGCAGTCGAAGCGATGGCGGATTGATTGGTGGTGATTTCGGATCTGTTAGGGTTGGTTGGTGAGAGGAAGACGAAAGCTGCGGTTGCGAATAGCAATGGGGTTCCGTAAATAGTAACTGACCTATCATATGCCATATTTAACCCAAGAGTTATGCCGTTTCGTCTGACAGGGATTCTTGGGGGACGTGCGCACGCGCCGCAGACGGCTGTTTTCACATTTGCAGTATTACTCAGCTCCGAGATCTACGCCAATAAATGTGCCTCTTCGTTGCCAGTGTGGGAGGGCCCATGCTGATGCACCTACTGACAGGTGCCACGCAACTGTTTGCTTGACAAGATAAAAGACAGTATGACGTGCTATACCCGTCTACTTTTTTGACCACCCTCATGCTCGGGGACTGTCGCGACTATCCTTGTGCTTGGGGACTGTCCCGACCACCATCGTGCTCGGGGACTGTTCCAACCACTCTCGTGCTTGGGACTGTCTCGACCGCCCTCATGCTCGGGGACTGTCCCGACTACCTTTGTGCTCGGGGACTGTCCCGACTACGGTTATTCTCGGGGATTCGTCGTTTTCCCCATGCTGCGCTCGGGGACTGCCCCGACCACTCTCCAACCATTGCTCGGGGACTGCTCTCCTCGGCTACATGTGATTTGTACTCACATACAGTTGAGAGGCATTTATTTTTTCTCACTTAGACCTTGTTACAAGGCTGATACCTCGCCTTCCAGCAAGCTCGGGGACTACATCGGTACGATGCACCTGTCGATGCAGCTCGTATCGCTTGTACGACGATTGGATTCTCAACTTAACTGGGAATTCTTTTTAGACCCTGACACCACGTGCCTACGTCACCTACTACCAGGCTCGGGGACTAAGTGGGCACACTTCATCTTGTGGTGAATGTGCTTATTTTATCGACCCCTACACTCTGACTGTTGGCCATAACTACTCATGTACAAGGGTCACTTATATTTCTTTTTAGAAATACAAGTGGGCACACTTGATCAGGAAAGAAATCTTTTTCTTTTTTCTTTAGAGCACCATGCATTCTTCGGACAACCGGAATCTTCGGCTATAATTGTGGTCTACTGCTCTCTGTGCTAACCAGAATACTGGCACATTTGCTTGGTCAATGTTTCAAGCAGTTGGAGATGATACGAAGACAGACTGTATTAGCCGAAGAAGATCAAACGGCGTGTCGCAACATAATACATGGTGCTCGGGGACTAGCTGTGGGGGTATTAACCCCTATACCCTTACAGTTAGGTTTGGGTCGGCCCAGACCAGGGGGTTCGACCCACCAGAAGACAACGCGCCGATCTGCTTGGAGTCCCGCGCAAGGAATCAAGGCAGACTTGGAGATCAAGCAAGATCTTGGTCGGTTAGAATAAGAATCCTTATCCGGCCACCTATGGCAATTGTAACCAGTTGGGATTAGTTTCCAGATCTGTAACCCTGACCCCCAGACTATATAATGCGAGCAGGGGACTCCTCTCAAAAATCATCTCATTTATATATAGCAATACAATCAGACGCAGGACGTAGGTATTACGCCCTCACGGCGGCCGAACCTGGATAAAACCTCATGTCTGTCTTGCGTCACCATCTCGTTCATAGCTTACGCACCTGTCTGCCAATAATCTACTACCTTGGGCATACTCCTAGGTAGACTGCCGACCATATTTCATCGACAATAAAGGTATGATCTTGTTCCTCTACCTAATTTATCCTAGTACATTCAAAACTTAGGTCTAATTTGCTTCATAAGTAGCTCAAGCACCATAGAAGAGAGAGAAAAACAAAACTCTAATTACTCACTAACAAACCATTAAAACTTCAAAAAAAAGTGTGGAATAACATTTTTTTACCTTCTACAACCTCTCCACCAAAGGATTTAAGACCAAAACATTCCTTTCTTAGTAGAGCAATTTTTAGGAGGTGCCCAAGGCTTCCCAAGCCTTTTTTCTCGGGTAAGAGTGAGTGTCCTGAGGAGAAAAAGGAAGATGCAGCCTTTTGTACGTGCAGCATTTGTAGGACGGCTGGTGATTGAGCCGCCTCTACAAATTGACTCATTTGTAGGAGCGGCTCGTCTTGTGGGTCCCGAGCACGTCCACTGTAGATGCACCTCCATCCCTAGCCCCCCTATAAAAAAAAATTGAGCTGTTGCTATAAACCTTTTCTGTCATAGAAAGTTGCCAACATTTTATATTTTATTTTTGAGTTCAGTTGTCAGCGTCTGTAACTCTGTATTACTTCTTGAAATCTGATGGACATGTAGTGTTCGTCAAGTGTACTTTATTAGGATAGTTACAGACGGCCTAAAGTGGGGAGAAGCCCAAGGCTCGTGAGCTGATTGTTTTAGAAGCTCAAGTTAAGCTTGAGTCAAAACTAAGAGCACGTCGAAGAGTTTTCAAATCTACTCCCAATCTAGACTTTTTGGACAGGATCGAAAAAACTGCTCTCCAAAGAATAAAGAGCAGAAAAGACCGGGTTTCTGATGCAAATATATAATAAAGAAAAAAATATAAAAGTGGTTAGAATGATTTAAAAATAGTTCGAAGTATATTTTATGTACTGAATTTTAAAAACTGTTGGAGGAACCCAACAAATATTCTCCTTACTTTTTTAGCCACTTGAAAAGCTAGTTGATTTATCAATTGTTTTTTTAAAACTACTGGAGATGCTCTAACAAATCTGTCAATCTCGTTTCTTTCGGTACTGCACAAATCTCCTAGGGCTAACAAACAAGACAACAACTGAAGCCCAACCACTGCATAGATTTTTAGTACTCCTTCCATCCCCATAAAAAGTATCTTTAGTTTTTGAGAAGTCAAATATTATCAACTTTGATCAAATATATAAAAAATGATATTTTTATGCATAATTAATGAAACTAGATGAATCGCCGAATATATTTTTATATAATATTTTTTGGGAATACAAATATTACTAATATTTTCTATAAATCTAGTCAAAGAATATGATATTTTCTCTTGGACGACGGAGTAAGCTATAAGAGCATCTGAGTTTGGATTGGAGAAAAAGCTCCCAATCACCGGTTTTGGTGCAGAGATGAAAAGAAAAATAAACAATCTTCAACAACTCCTCTTCTATTTTTTTCCCACGGCTCTTGAGCTATGCACGACGGAGCTGAGGAAATTCCATCGCTCACGCACTTGTTTATCGGCCATGACCCGGTCCACTCTGGCTGTGACTGACCCGTATTTGACACATCGCGTGGTTTTTTGGCTTTTGCTTGGTTTTTATTTTTTAATAATTAATTATTGGCAAGAGAAAGATTAAAATTTTGCTCCCTACTACACTTGATGTCCTCCCTAGCACACTGGGGATACGACGCGTTGTTGTAACAAACTTTTCGATCTTAATACAAATATGCGCAAACATGCGTATTCGAGAAAAAAAAATTGCTCCCTTGGCAAGTTGAAAATAATTGAGGATTTGACCAATATTTTTTGGGCCTATGTGCTTTTATTAGGCCTTGGGCCAAGATGTAGGCTGATCTCATTTTTCATCCGGCCTTTCTGGTTGCACGCCCCTACGTGTAAGGCCCAGCAAACAGAACCCTCGCACTCGCAGAGTCGCAGGCCCAGTTAAAATCGAGAGACCCGGCCTGCGTCCAGACTCCAGACCTTATCCACCAACCTCCGCGACGACTGGCCGCGAGCTCCCCTCCTCTCTCCCGTAACACCCACTGCTCCTCTCCGCCACCGTCGCTCACGCGGTCTCCTATCCCCCGCTCCGCTCCCCGGAGACACGCGAGCTTCCCGTTCCCGGGGACACGCGCTAAAGATGCCTCCCGCCTTCGCCGCCGCACCTTACTCCTCCATGTTAGTATCTGCGCGCCCAACGTCTGGCCCTCAAAGCCCTTGCTAGCGTTGCTAGTGCTGAACTGCTGGTGATTTTTTTTTTGAATATTTCAGGTGTGGCGTTCGCATCCCAACGGCGTGCCGTTTCGAAGCGCGAAGCACGGTTTCCACGCCCAGATTTCTTCGTAATCGGGTGGCAGGTAAAGGTACCGCTCCCCGCGTTGCAGCGCACCGCATTGTCAGAAGTGGATGATGGGCAATGGTTGATATTGGTCAGGCTAGTGCAGCCTTCAGTAATGGTTGTTTGAGCTAACAATTGAGCCAAGTACGTGGGTACCACCGTGCTAATCTGGCAGTTTACCGAATGGAATCACGAATGGTTGTTTGAAACCTGTGGAACCTCATATATCCTCAAACTGATGTGGTGGTTAACTGGTTAAATATCTGCAGAACTTCCCTTTTTGGGTTATCGCATTTCCTGTTAATATCTGGAAGCCTGCATTGGATCTGTTACTGGCGCACCAGTAGCTCTTAAATAAAATTGTGCCCTTATTTGTGAATTATTTTGTAGACTTCAACATGTGCAGAAATCAAAATCATGATAATAATTGATCCATCAAAGTCTGTAGATACTGAAGCTCAATGGCAAGTTAAACATGCAAACTGTTGATTGCTCATAGGCTGATTTATATTCATTATTATGTTTTCTGTGACTGTTTGTGGGCTGTTCATGAAGCGTAGCTGTTAATTTGATGATTAATAGCTCAACACTGACGGCCACACTATCATTGTAGCAAAAACACGGTCTGCATCAGCTTGGTCCTTGAAGGCTGGCTTGTGGGATTCTCTCAGATCTGGGTAAAGTACATTGTCTACACTTGCAAACACTTCATTTATATGATTTCTTTAGGTTTTATGTTATCTATACTTCGACATGCATCTACTGGTGTAAATAAACCTCTCCTTGTTACAAATTCTCGCCTTAGCAGAAAAGGCTAAAACAGTTTATTCCCACGATATTTGGATAAAGTAAGAGAAAGAAAAGTTGAACAGGTAGGGATTTGCTCCTTGCTAATTGTCAGCCTGAGAACCATATAAATATCTAGTGGGACCAAATCATGTCTGAAGGAAAGTTTATTTTTGGAGACTTTGGATCTTTTAGCGACAGGGGTTTGATGCAATTGTTTCTTTCCTTCCTTTTCAGCATGAAACTGTCTAGTTATTTCCCTTTGTCTTCAACCAACAATTGTATCTTCCAACCTTATGGTAGGCATAAAGCCTGAAACCACACATTTTTAGGCATCTTTTACAATCTTGGAATCTCATTTATGGCATTGTGTTGCATTCGCGCTTTTGGTTTTCAATCTTATGGACAAAAAATGGAAATGTATTTGTTTTTTCAGCTTTTTGAAGAGTAACAACAGTACAGATACAGTAGAGCCACCACCAGCACCACTTGAAGTGGAAGAACCTTTGCCTGTGGAAATAGTACTCCTAGAAAGAACACTACTTGACGGAAGCACAGAACAGATTTTATTTTCTTCAGCTGGAGATGTTGATGTATATGATCTCCAAGCCTTATGCGATAAGGTGATCTTTCATCAACCCCAATATTTCTCAGTGTTATGTTATAGTCAATGAACTTAATGCTTCTTCTCTTGACAACTATAATTCGTTTTGAATATTGATCCCCATAACAAATGTGTTTGTTTTAAATATTTGATCTCACAGGTAGGATGGCCGCGCAGGCCTCTATCAAAGATAGCAGCCTCATTAAGAAACAGCTACTTGGTTGCTACACTACATTCAATAATTAGATCTTCAGAAACAGGTACTTGCCTCATTGTTTGATTATCACAGGCTCTTCTGTGATCATATGCATTAGTTGAGGCACGTGTCCTAATCTGAAGGTTATTTGCAGAAATTCATTTTTCTAGATGATGAACATCTTAGTGTACTTGTAGAAGTTATTTGACAGAGGCAGAAGAGAAGAAACAGCTCATTGGGATGGCACGAGCAACCTCAGACCATGCCTTCAATGCTACAATTTGGGATGTTCTTGTTGATCCTTCGTACCAGGTGAGCTGATGAACTTTGCTGTTTTGCCTTTTGAGAATCCTATCCCAACATTTCTACTGGCTATATTAAAGAAGAATTATCATGATATGGCTGAGACTTCATTTATTTCAGGGTCAGGGTCTTGGTAAAGCACTCATGGAGAAAGTAATTCGTACTTTGCTCCAGAGAGACATCAACAACATTACACTGTTTGCAGATAATAAAGGTGTTGATTTCAAAATCTTCTACAACATCTTATGTAAAGAAAAATGAATTTGCATGCCATGTCAAAGGAGAATAGTTGGCTAGAATTATATCTGTCCTGTTTCCTATGTGCCTTTGGCTTGTTCTCTACTTTGAATTATTTGTATAGGTGCTGCAAAATCTGTAAATCTGTTTATTCTCTGAATAATGCAAGTACCATGGAAAAGGACGCTGTAGGCACCACTTGCTTTTTTATTCACATGAAGAAGATAATTTATAATTGTGAAAAGGTGCAAAATATAGGATGTGGATGGAGATCAGCAAAATTAGTAATTGCAGCACTACAGTATTTCTATGGACTAATGGTTGTTTATATTTCCACTCTTTCGTTCTTTCTGGCTGCAGTTATAGATTTCTACAAGAACTTGGGATTTGAAGTTGATCCTCAAGGCATCAAGGGCATGTTCTGGTACCCCAGATTTTAACACCAGCAGCCAGATGGATCGTTCAAGGGGTTGTGCCTGAAGCATCTCCTGTTCTGAAAGGATAATTGCAGGTCAGATTGACAGGTCAGGGCTCCATGCCCAGATGGATGGCCCTTAACATTTCATCCTGGTGAGAAGCTAGAATTTTCTTCAATGTTAAATTTTCCTCACCCCTGTAACCACAACCCAACAAAACACACTATTTGCAATGCCCGGGTTGCATGTTCATACACGCGCTTTGGACTCACCCATCTGTATCTGTATGTAGCATTTTCTACACTCTGAAATGAAAAAAACTGTATCCATCAGCCTGTGCTGTCTCTGGGAAAGAATTTGCTTTCCATCAACATCCACTTACTGTTGCTGGACCTGTAACTTCAGTTGAGTCACCGTTTACTTCAACCACCTAGAGGTGTCTACATTAGAGGCAAACTGGGGCTTCAAATCAGTTACCCATGCTCAGCAGCCTGATTTTAGCTGTGAGGTCGTTGCTGTTGGTACCATTTGCCTGTGAAGATACTTCGAGCAGCAAAGCATGGACATGAACTCACGGAGCTCATGTCATGGACCGCTGGTCACCGATGCTAGCTTTCTCGTGGGTTTGGCTTTGGCAAAGCCATTGAATGGTGGTGTCGACGTGTTGTCGTCAGTTGGATCAATATCACCGTGTATCGTCGACTACAAGCTGCTGGTTGGGGTCAGCGGCTCAGCGCACGCATTCTTGACCAGATATCAAGCTGATCGACAGGTTGTGGACATCCATCCGTCCAAGCGCAGTGTTTGTGCTTTGAAGCTGGTCTGCTAGTAGTCAGTTTCGTGCACGTTTGCAGCCCGCCGAAATAAGAAAAGAAGATCTTCAGTGTAAAGATGATATAATGCAAACGTGCATAATTTCAAAGCACGTACTGGAGATCTTCCTGCAAAAAACGTACATGCGTTTCTCAGTGTTAAAAAGATCTTCCTGCTGTAAAAAACGTGCATAGTTTCGTGCACGACATGCATAATTGACTACTAGTAGACCAGCTTCAAAGCACATAGTTTCGTGCATAATTGCTACTGGAGATCTTCAGTGTAGAAACGTACATAGTTTCGTGCACGACATGCCTCAAAGTGTTAAAAAGATCTTCCTGCTGTAAAAAGCGTACTGGCGTTCTCTACTTTGCACCTTTGACCATAATTTCCTAATAAAATGTATCTATAAAATCTAATACGTTTTATGAGGTTATATGGTTTTCATGTTTTGAATCACATTGAGAAATAAACCCAAGTTTCAAAATAGAATATTTTATAGTAGTCAAAGTTTTAAAAAGTTGAGTGAAATTTATCTAAACTTTATTTCCTCACTCCTCTTATATTTGACGTTGGTTAGTTAAACCCATTTGGATCACAACCGGATTATAATCTGAATTATGTATAGGACTATTAAATTAATAATTAGATTGTCTGGATTCTTAGATTATTATGGTAAATTATTGTCGGTTAAAATGAAAAATACATATCTTCTCCTTTAGTTTGGAACCACTTCAGATAAGGTGGGGGCAAGTTAAACTTTTCAGCCCCCATAATAATATCCAAAAAGCTTGTAATAAGTGGATTATATGATTATTATAATAGAATAAATTACGACTATCATACAATAACATGGCAGGTGGATGCAAATTGGTCCAATACCTTATAAACTACTAAAAAACATTAACTCGGCAAATTGGTGTATATAATGTCCAAACATTGCTAATATGGCAAAATATGTATTCGCTAGTTAGGCGCTAGAATTACTGGATAATCCTGTCACTTTCAAACATCCCAAAAAAAACTGAACAATGTACAAAAGATGATCGCATTTGCTCTAGAAATTTTGAACCTTGTACTTTGGACAAGAAAGATATAATATTTTCATCTAGCCTCAGACGATAAACCATGGCCATAATCCTATCAACACCCTGTGCTATCACTCCAGTATCCAACAACAAACTCTTGATATGAACCAACGATCATCTTCGTGTGGAAGCTCCATCTTGACATGATTAGAATAGATGATTAAAGTTCAAGAACAATACACACTAACTGTCTAGCTATATTTACGAGGAGCAACACCAGCTTCTCGGTGGTGAGGTTCCATCACTAGTGGATTAGGTGATCGACGTTGTGAAGCGCCTGTTTTTTTAATCTAGCTACAAATGTAGACACTCACTTACACAAGCGTACACTCACCTCTATGAATGCACGCACGCACACCCTACCCTTATGAACACCTCCGAAGAACTGAGTTGGACCGGCAAATCTCGAGATTGACGAAGTCACCACAGGCGCCTCGCTGTCGACGGGCACGTCGCCTACTACTGAAAGAGTAGCGCCGTTAAATCCTAGAATAAATACAGGAAAATACGAGCACCCGTGTTAAGTAGGGGACTTAAACTCGGATGGGCAGGTTCCACCACAGGGAACTCAACCAACTAATTTGCCTATCTTACAATTTCCAGAACCATATTAAAGAATTTCACGCGCCAATGCACATGTGACAAACCTGCTATTAACCCTAGCGCCTAATATATATATGAGTACACATTTTATCAGACTAGTAGTGTTTGTACCATACAAGCATCAATTTGCCAAGTTATCGTAGCAGTTTACTTGCTGTTGGATTAATCTGCACCCATCTACCAAGTTTGTTGTGTGGTAGATGTAATTTACTCTTATATGCAACATAAGATTTTATGTCACGCTGAAACATGAGTTGGTAGGCCAAATTATATTAGTGTGCGGAAGAAGTAGTAATTATTTGCAACCTGGCGGTATAGTTAGAAACGTGTCTGTATTTGTAGCATCGAGACATAATGGTTGGTTGTACGTTCCAATCGAAGAGGCTGGCGTATCGTGTCGTGTCAAGGACGGGATCAGTGGCTTCACCCGAGGACCACGAGGAAGGACTGGATTGGAACAAACGACAGGTTTTGATAATTAACCCCTCCCCTGATTACCTTACAGGTACGTGTACAACCCTGCTGCGCAAGTAAGGAGGACTCATGCTATCTAAGAAAAAAGGTAACGAGGACTCGAATTCTCCATTGTTTTCCATGCTCGAGTCGATCGTTGAGCTAGTTTCCTACTATCTTTCTGGATGCAGTGTCGTTGAGCAGCTTCCTAGCCCAGCCAAGACAGTGATGCAGCTGAAAGATGTTACGCTGGAGACCAAGACCGTCCAGAGGTCCGACCACCATCGATTCGATTTGTACATGTATGTGATTGAGAAGTGAGGACACATACGCCACAGAATAGTAGTGGAGCACGAGGATTCATCAAAGTCCTGAAGGTCTCTGCTCTCGAAACCCTTCTTATTAGATCGTTCTCACATGATTTTCTTTCCTGCTTGTGCATAGTCACGGCTGCGTCATAACAGCGTCACAGCACTGTAATGGCCAGCAGTGGAAAAAATCCATTTTTTTCCCTCCAACAATGGCTGCAGTTTGTTTCTAGCCCTCTAACTCGAAAATCAGACAAACGCAGTCCCTTAACTCTCAAAACTGTTTAAAATTGGCCATCGCGCCCATTCGACCGTGGTTTCGGCCCAGTCAAACCCGCCACGACCGCGGTTTTGGCCCGGTCTCCATGTCTGACGAGCCGGGTCCATGGTGGCGGTGTCACGGGCTCACGGCAGGTTGAGGAACAACGCCGGGTCGGTGTCGGCGAACACGCTAGTGCCCCTGTAGGACCCTAGGTCGTAGCCCGACGGCCACTCGAAGTGGCTCGGGTCCGGCAGCAGCTCCTTGCCGCCGCCAACGCTGCCAACATCTGCTAGCCCTAGCCCTAGCCCGGGCACCGTGACGCGCCCATGTCGTCCGCCATGAAATCGCTCTTCTTGCGGCGACGGCCCACTCGCCCTCGCTGATGCTGCCGCGGCGACCTCGCGGCGGCGGCATCATCTCCGTGGCGACAACCGCTGCTGGGGCTGCTCCGTCGCGGTCGGCTTCTCCGAGGCGGCAACCGTCGCTGCTGCGGTTTCCGTCGACGTCGGTGCCGTGTTCGCGACGCCGGCCGGGCGGTGGAAGTCCGTCCGCGCTGCCTGCGTGCGCGGGTCCGCGCCAAAGGCGGCGCGGCGGCGCTTGGAGTTCTTGGACTGCCCGTGTTCTTGGGTGAGGCCGACATCGCCGAGGACGAGGACGAGCTGCTGCTCTTTTGCGGGTGCCGCATTCCAGTTTAAACATAGTTATTACAAAACGGATCGTTCGGATAAAAGGGACCCGCCCACACACTCACACCCCTGAGTCCAAATACAAGTGATGGCTCAACCCGGCGTACCTCAATCGTCAGACACCCTGAGATAGATCGACGCCATGGAGTGGGAAGTCGAGTACGAGTCGGCCATGGCGCTTATGGAGCCCGCATTTCCATGTGGCTTTATCGCCTCCCGCCGCGAGCGCCGCATTTCAAGAACCTTGCGCATTATCGAGCGCCTCGCCACGACCATTCTGGCCCGAACTAGCCGCCAAGATCGCTTAATGATACGAGATGATCATCGGGACCATACATGGTTTACCGCCCATCAAGTCGGCTTTACGGCCGGAAGTGAGCAGTCGAGTCGCCAAGATGCTCACATCCGTCGAAGTGTTCCCGGGAGGAGGGAGCGCTGGATTCGGGCTCCGACTAGTGAGGCCATTGATCACCGGTCACCAGCGCTGGAACTGTATGACTCGCCTCTTCTTATTCACTTTTCTTCACACACCGCTTCCCATGGCGGAGAATCGGAAGCGCCGCGAATCTCCTCACCTTTCTTGGTGGATGGCTACTTTCTCCGCTTCACCTCGCTCGCGTTCCGCCATGGTCGCCCGCTGCGCCCCGCGCTCGTAAGTCGCCGCCGGCCTCAACCCTTAGCTGCCATGACCATAGTCATCCAAATGTCGGCGCCATGGCCGTATCACTTCTACTGCCGTTGGGCCTCGCATTGGCCCGATCCATGGTCCGGATATAGTATAACAAAGGTAGACCTGGTTGCAAACAACTCC